TCTGCATGCCTGGCAGATATCTCAGCTTGGATGTCGGCCCACCACCTCAAGCACAACCTCGATAAGACGGAGCTGCTCTTCCTCCCGGGGAAGGCCTGCCCACAACAAGACCTCTCCATCTCGGTTGACAACTTCACGGTGTCCCCCTTCCAGAGTGCAAAGAACCTTGGTGTGACACAGGACAACACCCTGTCATTCTCTGTACAACTCCCTGTTGTTTTCCCCACACACTCCACTGGCTTTCAGTTGAAGTGCACATCCACTACAATACCATGGTACTTGCCTACGGAGCAGCAAGAGGACCTGCCCCTCCCTACCTTCAGGCTCTGCTCAAACCCTACACCCCAAGCTGAGTATTTAGTTCTGCAACCTCTGGTCACTTGGTCCTCCCACCCCTTACAGGAGGGCATCTCCCACTCAGCCCAGTCCAAGCTCTTCTCTGTCCTGGCACCCCATTGGTGGAACCAGCTTCCCTGTGAGTCCCTGCCCATCTTCCGAAAAACATCTGAAACCATACCTCTTCAAAGAGTATCTTAAATAATCCCCCCCCCCCCCCCCCCCAAAAAAAAAAAAAAAATGCTTTTTGTGAACTAACACTCGCACTTCACCCTTATTAGCTCTGACTTTGCTGATAGCTTTGCTGATAGCTACTTTATTGAGGACAATTTGACTTACTATGACAGTGATATGTGGTTGTCCCAACTAGTTATCTTAAGATGAATGAACTAACTGTAAGTCGCTCTGAATAAGAACATCTGCTAAATGACTCAAATGTAAAAATGTAAAATAAGTATACCTGAACAAGTATACCTGAACTTTGAAACATGCTTCTCTTTGTTGGGCTATTGGCTACGGCTGATGACTTCTACCTTAGCACATGGCACGTGGTAATTTCCTGCAATTCACACCTCCCGTGTAGAGGGCAATAACAAGCATTACACTCTGAGCTGGAGTTTGTAGAGAAACGTTTCTGCTTAAGCCAGGCAGTGGAGAGCTACTACAGCGCTGTGCAGGGCACGGCCATTTCAGCGACACAGGCAGTGGAGAGCCACTACAGCGCTGTGCAGGGCACGGCCATTTCAGCGACACAGGCAGTGACGCTATGACAGCTGGGACACTTTTTTTGGCTATGAACCCAGCATGAACCGGCAGAAGTCCACCCATTGGTTGATGCAATCCAATGCCTGAGCAGGGGAGCACGGCCATAGTGTTCCAGGCGGCCGGCCACAGAAAGTAATGCAGTCCGTAGGCATTGTGGATCCTTTGTGCAGCGCTAACATAGCAGCTTTGTTTGGTGAGAGCACATTGCAAATGGAGTTTGTGCTTAGTTGAATAATGAAACAAAATGTCCACCTGCCTGCTAGCTGTGCCACTTCCTGTGTCCCTTTTTGTTTTCTGTGTAATTTGTATGTTTGAGATTTTAACTTGCATGGTTTTTAAAGTAAAAGCCGAATGGCAATAGAGTAACTGATAAAAGTGAAAGCAAAGGCTGCAGAACTAACTAAACATTGGTGTGTTTGCCTCTACTTCATGCTGCCTGCTCAATCCAGATCCACCATTTCACAAAGTATGGTTCCCATACAGCCCTGTGTTACAGGACCTGAATTACCATTGACTCTGGAATGTACCCATTTATTTTCGACCCATGCAAATAACGTTTATTTGATGTGATCATAGATTTAATGGAACATATTGTACATACTGCATACATGAGGAAGTCAAAGTACAGACCTTTCAGCATTCCTGTCAAGTCACCGACTCGGACAGACTGATAGTGATCAGTACCTCTCAAGGGAACAAACACAAGAAAAGCAGGGACCGCCACACAATAATGACATCTTCATTACTTGACCAATCTTTAAAAGGTATCAGGAATAGAACACCATCTTAGTGGTGCAACACTGCAAACAGGCATGTATGGATATCCCTGAACTGCGATGGAGGCTCTGATAAGACAAGACACACTACCAATGAGTGTTTCAAAGTGGAGATGAGATGGGCGACTGTGTTTCACAGACATTTCACATCATTCAGAAATATAGGGTTTCACAGAGCCCAGTGGGATACAATGAGATAGAGGCAGCTTTTGTCCCTGGTCTGGTGTCCCTTTCTTTTATGTATGAGGACAGAGGGAGTGGGGGAAAGTGTCCTAGTTGACCCCTCTCTCCATTCATATTTAGTCAGCCATGATGACGGCCCATATCATGCTCCTTACAGGGTTTGACATTCCAATTAAATTCTTGAAGTCACTCATGAAGTGGACAATTTACGATGAATTACATTTTAATTAATGGAATTGAAATTGAAATTAGACTGTTAGAATTGGAATTGCATTGGATTTGCAAAAACATTTAATCTTTGGAATTGAATGTTTGTAACAAGGTGAGTAGGATGGAGCCAGGCGCAGGAGGTGTGAATCAAAGGATAGGGTTTATTTGGCCAATACAGCAGTCCGTAGCAACGCGTAAACCAATTACAGTGCGACTTAAATTCATACTAGGAAAACAAAACACACGGGTGAATATCCGGCGATAAAAGTAACATAATGCTCAACACGAGCTAGCGACACCTCCACATGGAACAATAACACACAAAGAAATGGGGGAGCAGAGGGAATAATTATACAGAGACTGATGAGGAGATATGTACCAGGTGTGTGTGAAAAACAAGACAAAACAAATGGAATGATGAAAAGAGGAGCGGCGGTGGCTAGAAGGCCGGTGATGACGAATGCCGAAGCCTGCCCGAACAAGGAGATGAGGCAGCTTTGGAGGGAGTCATGACAATGGTATTGGAATTCAATATTTATGCATTTCCCAGTTAATGGAATTAATGCATTTAGTATAAAAAATTCACTGCATGATTTGTTTAAAATAATTTCAACTTGAATTTCTATATTTCCAGCTAGGCTGTCTCAACAGTGACATGATCAGCCTGAAAGTCTGAGGGAATTGAATTGGAATTGGAATATGTGAAATTGTTGGGGATAATATTGAATTGGGAATTGAATTCTTGGAATTTACCTAACATTGGAATTGAGAGGAATTGAATTATCGCTGAATTTAAAGACTGACCTGCAATTTGAATTTAATTGAATGGAATTTACAGTGAGCGGGAATTGAATTAGAATGAATTTGTAGAATTAACCCCAACCCTGGTCATAACATTGTTTGTCAAATGTTTTTAGACCTCAGAAGCAGTCTAATGTCAAATTGGTAAAGGTCCTGTATGGCTCACTTGATAGAGCACAGCGCTTGCAACACCAGGATGGTGGGTTCAATTCCCGGGTCCACCCATTCGCAAAATGTATGCATGAATGCCTGTAAGTTGCTTTGGATAAAAGCATCTGCTAAATGGCATTTATTATATGATTATATATAATGTGGGATCGAGACGTAGCTGGATCCACACAACCGATGGCTTGGGACGTGGACTCGAAATGAGATGACTACATGATAGACAATGTCCCTTTTACCCATGGTAACGAAACGCTACATCTATTAAAAATCCTGTTCTGAACAACTGTCGTCTGGTGTGACAGAATAGGCAATTACCACTAAACAAGTGTAAAATGATAGGAGCAGATGAAGACACTGATGTCATTCATATACCAGTTTGGGAAACATTACAGCGCTATTGAAGAGGCAAAGATGGCTGCATAGCGTTAGCATTAGCATCAGAATAGAGCATTGGGGAATTCTTGGAGGGGGATCCATGGAAGATACAAATCAGAGGAAGGGTCAGGGGACAGGTAGCGTTACAGCTATTTAGCCATGCTAACAATGAGAAGCCCCCAGATTCCATCATGTTATGTAAGGTTGGCGTCCCACACTTCCAGTCGCAAAACCATGCTAGGTGATCTACAAAGAGCTAGGAAGAGTGACAGTGTGTGTGTGTGCGCGAGTGAGGGAACCTCTCCATTGCAGAGCATCAAACTTGCATAGAATCTTTAAGCTGATAGCATGCTTAGAACCATCACAATACTGATTCAAATATGTCACTGGACACAACACAGTCATGCTCAAGCCTTGATTATCGAATATCATTTTGAAGTATCAGAATAGAGTAAGACATAAAAGGAATGTTAAAGACTAATGCAATGTTGAGTGTGCTGCAGTGATCCCCTGAGAGGTTTGTCATTTGAAAGTCAATGTCGTTTCCTTCACAGAGAGCTTTTGTGAGTAGCTCCACAATGGGGTTACCAATTTGCCACTGCCAAGTAGGGGACTTGAGGAGAGAGGACAGGTGAGTGAGGTGGGGGGTTCCTCTTACCTGTAAAAGTATAAAATCCACCCCCTTGGCTGTCCAGCTGTCAGTGGTGGCTAAAGTTCCCAGTCAGTCTATACAGACCATGAAGACCCTCTGACGGAAACCTAGCCAGACTAGAACTAGCCGTCTACCCTTCATGAAACATCTATGGTAAGGTTAAAGAGATTTTACCTTATTTTGGCCTTACCTAGGGTGTTGTCGTTTCATTCCATTTTTAAGTCTCTTAGCTTGTTTAAAAAAAAAAAAACATCCAACATCTCCCTGCGAGCATTTTTAGACCATGTAGAAATGCTAATGTAAACGGACGTTATCAGCTAATGCCAATTAATACTAGAACTGTGTATTAGTCATGTGTGTCTGTGACTGTGCAGTGGTTGTGAAGGAGTGGCTGGTTATTAAACCATGATTAAACCAAACAATGGCTTGGGACCTGACTCCCTTGGCTGCTATCGCGATCCCCCCTCCGTTCAGAGACCAACGATGCTTCCTCCCGCCATTCAAGTCCCGAACTGTTTTAATCAACATTTCAATCAACTTAATTTCCCCCTAAAATCTTCTTATTTTTCTTTCCTTTTTGTCTGTATACTGTAATTCAGCTATTAGCTGTGCATGTGTCCAAGTTTAAATAAACCTTACTATATATGGGGAGATTATACGATTTTAAGTTCTTATTGACTTAGCATAGCAATGTGTTACAATTGAATTCTGATATTTATTTTCAGCCTTTGACAATGGCTGCTGTAAGCGCTCTACTACTTCTACTGCCTGTAGCATGGACTTGTGCCCCCCAGAAAGCAGGTGAATATTTTTTTCCTTAAGGAGAGTGGAATCCCTATCCATATGACACCATGGAACAGGTTCCATCAGCATCCTCTAAGATTGGCTTTTCTCTGTGCTTGTTGTTCATCAGACTATGTGATGGTGTCATGTTTCCCCAATGCCATCATTGCTAACGTCCCAGAGTGTCCCTACGGCTGGGAGATCGGCCAGCTGTCCCTGGGAGGGCTGTGTTACAGCGGTGTCAACAGCCCAGGATACTTTCGCTTCACCATCCCTGACCTGACACCCAAAAACAACTCATACTGTGGCACTCACGCCGAGGTGATATACTGAACATAGCTTTAATGGAGGGGGTAAGCTTGCCTGAGACCTGAAGAGTTGCAGGTCTGAGCAAGGTATTCCAGCTAAATGCAAAGTGATAGGCCTAAAGAGTCAACAACCCATCCTCATTCTTTGGCGTGTCTGCTATTTTTTCCCAGTATATTGGTGGTAAAGACCCCAAGTATGTCTTCTACAACTCCATTGTGTCCAATGACACTTCACTAACAGTCAGAAACCAGCCGGTCAACTACACGTTCAGCTGCACATACCGGGCCGCCTACTTGGTCAACAACGCCGTCTTCAGCCAAAGGTAAGCACCAATCCTGGCATTTAGGTCACCGCTGGTACCTTCTGGAGAGCGTTTGCATTCTAACCCAATGACTTGCAGTGTTTTTACTAAACCCTTTGCTTCTTTCAGAGTGGCTACAGTTTTTGTCAACAACGGGAGTTTAGGCACTTTTAGTTCACAGTTGTCTATGAACGTGTTCACTGTGAGTACCTCAAGGTTTGGTTCTTATCAACTTCCTGGACAAAGATTAAGCCTAGTCTAGGACATTAAATGGATATTCTCCATAAAGCATGCTTTTTAGTCCATGACTAGGCTTAGTCTGGGCCTGGGGAAATAGGTTATTAGCTGCTTGAGTGTAAAATGTAATACTAACATTAGTTTAGTAATATTATGGAGATAATAATTTGTCCATTACTTGTAAGGATCACTCAAGTCGTAAAAGTAAACTCAATGTGAATATACATATAACTGACTAACCTGTGTTCATGTCTTTAGAATTCCAAGTTCCTGTATGCCAAAGACGCCCCCTATGTGATTGACACATCAGAGATTGGCTCTGAAGTGTTCATTGGGATTGAAGCCAAAGGACTCAGCAACAGGTACTCACAACAGACAGTATATTTGTATATATAGTTTGCACATTTGTATGTCTACTGAACAAAAATATAAAAACAACATGCAACAATTTCAAAAATGTTACTGAGTTACAGTTATGTAAGGAAATCGGTCAATTGAAATAAATTCATTAGGCCCTAATCTATGGATTTCAAATGACTGGGCAGGGGCGCAGACATGGGTGGGCCTGGGAAGGAATAGGCCCACCTGCTGGGGAGCCAGGCCCAGGCAATCAGAATGAGTTTTTCCGCACAAAAGGGCTTTATTACAGACAGAAATACTCCTCAGTTTCATCAGCTGTCCGGGTGGCTGGTCTCAGATGATCCCGCTGGTGAAGAAGCCGGATGTAGAGGTCCTGAGCTGGTGTGGTTACATGTGGTCTGCGGTTGTGAGGCCGGTTGGAGGAACTGCCAAATTCTCTACAACGACGTTGGAGGCGGCTTATGGTAGAGAAATTAACATAAAATTATCTGGCATCAGCTCTGGTGGACATTCCTGCAGTCAGTATTCCAATTGCATGCTCCCTCAAAACTTGAGACATCTGTGGCATTGTGTTGTGTGACAAAACTGTACATTTTAGAGTGCCTTTTATTGTCCCCAGCACAATGTGCCCCTGTATAATGATCATGCTGTTTAATCAGCTTCTTGATATGCCACACCTGTCAGGTGGATGGATTATCTTGTCAAAGTAGAAATGCTCACTAACAGGAATGTAATCAAATTTGTGCACAAAATTGGAGCGAAATAAGCTTTTTGTGCATATGGAACATTTCTGGGATCTTTTATTTCAGCTCATGAAACATGGGACCAACACTTTACATGTTGTGTTTATATTTTTGTTCAGTATAGATATTCCTCACCCTGCATAAAGCAAATACACGTGACCAAATATGACAAGATGCGAAAGTGGGGGAAAAAAACATAGGTGTTGGAGACAAACAGTGCCTTCAGAAAGTATTCATACCCCTTGACTTACTCCACATTTTGTCGTGTTACAGCCTGAATTCAAAATGGATTAAATGCATTTATTTTCTCTCACCCATCTACACACAATACCCCATAATGACAAAATTAAAATATGTTTTTAGAAATGTTGGCAAAAGTTATTGAAAATGAAATACAGAAATACAGTATCTCATTTACATAAGTATTCACACCCCTGAGCCAATACATGTTAGAATCAACTTTGGGCGCGATTACAGCTGTGCGTCTTTCTGGGTAAGTCTTGAAGAGCTTTGCACACCTGGATTGCACAATGTTTGCACATTATTATTTTTTTAATTCTTCAACCTCTGTCAAATTGGTTGTTGATCATTGCTAGACATCATTTTCAAGTCTTGCCATAGATTTTCAAGTTGATTTAAGTCAAAACTGGAACATTCAATGTTGTCTTGATAAACAACTCCAGTGTATATTCGGCCTTGTGTTTTTGTTTATTGTCCTGCTGAAAGGTGAATGAATCTTTCAGTGCCTGGTGGAAAGCAGACTGAACCAGGTTTTCGTCTAGGATTTAGCCTGTGCTTAGCTCTATTCCGTTTCTTTTTTATCCTGAAAAACCTCCCAGTCCGTAACGATTACAAGCATACCTATAACATGATGTAGCCACCACTATGCTTGAAAATATGGTGTGAGGTACTCAGTAATGTGTTGTATTGTATTTTCCCCAAACATAACACTTTGTATTCAGGACAGAAAAGTTAATTGCTTTGCCACATTTTTTGCAGTATTACTTTAGTGCCTTGTTGCAAACAGGATGCATGTTTTAGAAGAAAAAATAATCTGTACAGGCTTCCTTCTTTTCACTCTGTCAGTTAGGTTAGTATTGTGGAGTAACTACGATGTTGTTGATCCATCCTCCGTTTTCTCCTACCACAGCCATTAAACTCTGAAACTGTTTTAAAGTCACCATTGGTCTCATGGTGAAATCCCTGAGCGGTTTAATTCCTCTCCGCTTTTCATTTTAAATTCATTTGTAAAAAGTTCTAAAAACATAATTTCACTTTGACATTATGGGGTACTGTGTGTAGGCCAATGATGCAATCTCAATGTAATCCATTTTAAATTCAGGCTGTAACACAACAAAATGTGGAAAAAGTAAAGGGGTGTGAATACTTTCTGAAGGCACAGTATTTGTATCATGCAACATCCATTCACCCTTGAAAACAGCACTTCTCTGGATAGAAATGAAGAAAAAGAAGGGGATGACAATTCAAAGCAGATCCCCTTCTCTTGAATATAATTGTCCAATATTCTTTGCTCTCCCAGATTCAAAGTGGTGATAAGCAACTGCTGGGCGACACCCACTCCTTACTCAACAGACAAGAAGAGGTGGAATCTTATCATCAACAGGTATTTCAGTGAAAACTTGCAAATGTGGGGGGCGGTTACCAACCTAATTCTCACTGCATGCTGATCAAAACCCCACTTTGTGGAATAAACAAAATTAATACTGAATTGCATTGAACTTTCGTACAGGTGACACAGCTGTTCCTATTTTCCCAAACATTTCATCAAACATTCAATCAATTGAGGTCTCTCATTCACAGCTGCTCGTATGACAAAACTGTGACCATTTTCGAGAACGCCAAAGACAGCCGCTCCATGTTTAAGTTCAACTCGTTCCGCTTCCAGCGCCAGGAGAAGGTGTCCACTGTTTGGCTTCACTGCGAGGTTGGGGTTTGTGACGGGGAAAAACTCTCATGTCAGCCAGTAAGTATGACATTTTACCGTCCTACACATGTAACATGGGAGAATTGTGATAAATAAGCAAAACTAACGGAGGCAATATTTGCCTAGTCGCCAGGATGTCGACACTGGATAAGGGTCTTTCTATAAACTAGGGTACCAGTGAGCATTTCTTGTAGTGGACAACTGTTTGGAGCTGTTACAAAGTCATTAATAATAATTAGCAAAACATATTCATTTGAATACATTAAGATATAAAGGGGGAACATAGATAAATTCAATTCAACATTCATGAGTTGAATCAAAACCTATGTTTCTTATGCTTTCTCATGCTTGGAGTCTTCAAAGATTTGGCAAATATCATGCGACATAAAACATTACCTTTCTTTCCTTACATTTATGATACTGTTGTTTGTCGTTATATCATATACTAACCGTTTAACAATTAAATTACACATTGAACTTGATCCTGTAAAATTCCTGGATATTGCTGTTGGACTCTTTTTTTGTATGGAGATCTCGGAAGTGTACTGTAACCTCATAACATTTCATATCTCCCTATGTTACGGATTGCAAACAGTTGTCATGGGCACACACATCCAAAATAATTATGCGATTGCAGAATGGAATGCTTCTAACAGAACGAGTAACTTTAACATGACTAATAAAACAAAAACCTATACTGTCATTAAGTGGGTTTTTCAATAATCACGCATAATAGTTGTTTGATGCGCGTTTGATGTCTAGCTGTTTAGTTACGGACATTATCGCGCAATATCAGCTGATTCAGGAAAGGATTTTATGAATGACAGTCAAGTGATAAAGAGCTCGTGTGATACTGCACAAGAACAAGACTAAACAACAGCCAAAGGGAATGAATGTGGATCTCGAGGATTGACAGAACATTTTGGTGTCTATGTTGTTAGGTGGTCAAGATAATTAGTCTATGTCATGGCCAAAATGAAGTCAAGATTCCTAAGATAACATAATAATGGCTTATTTTTTTATTTTTTGCATGTGAAACCAAAAAACTACTTGATATTTAAATGTTCACAAGTGGGTGGGGTTACATTTGGAGGGCCTGTCATTGGTCAAGTGCACAGCCAATACTTCCTGTCCTTTCAAAGTAGGTAGCCTAGCGGTTAAAGAGCATTGGGCCAGTAACCTCCGGCCGCCAATAACGTCGATTAATTCAGCCCCTCGCACCACTCTGATTCAGAGGGGTTGGGTTAAATGCGGAAGACATTTCAGTTGAATGCATTCAGTTGTGCAACTGACTAGGTATCCCCTTCTAACTCTATTATATGAATCTATTAAATAATTGATTCATAGTTGCCCATACAGTGCCACAGTGCCAAGATAAGGTAAGATTTCTCAATTCCTGCACAAGATTTAGTGTGTATTGACTTATTAATGAACTACTGTTACTGTAAATGGTTAGCTGACTGATATATCCTAGCTACCTAGCTACCTAGCTAACCATTGGTAATCTTATTCAATGATGCCATACATCCAAAACAACAGTATATATTGCTAGATTAGAGATATGCGAAGTGGTTGCACATTGAACTAGCTGGAATGAAGCAAGGGTGTGAATAGTAGACATGTAAATATATCCTTTCACTGTTTACAGCAGGTCTCCAGCTACCCAGAACTGTCTGATCAGCCTGATAGGGTGACGTGGGTGTGTCCCGCTTACACCTGTGCAAATCTGTGTGTGTATAGCAATGGAATGAAACATTCAAACAAGGCCTCAAGTGTTGTGCCTTAGGTCCACCACACACCCAAAGGGTTGTGGGGTCCTGTCCAGAAACAACCCCTAGCTCCTACTCCTAAACACTTATGGAGATCTGAGAGGATTGGACAGGAGTAAGCAATACCGCCAAAATTCCACCAAGCCTATCAGAGGGTTAGATGGAGCTCTCACCATGTCACCACCCATCAAGCCCTCTCAGATCTCCACAAGTGTCCAGACTTAGGGCAGTAATAATAATAACAATGTATTACATTTGTAAAGCACTTTTCATGATACTGTACATGAATAAACTCAAAGTGCATGAAAAAAATTAAACTGTGTGCCCTGAGATTGTCAGGAAGGGAGTTCCAAAGGCATGGTGCATTGGGGAGAAAAGTACCCCATTGTTCGGAGACCGGTCCTGGGTGCATGAAGCAGTTTGGCATGGCTTGACCGTAGGGTGCATGGAGGTTCATAGGGGGAGAGTAGATCTGACAGGTACTCAGGTCCAATGCTATTTAGGGCTTTGTAGACCAGGAGGAGAATTTGAAAGTCAACTATTTGAGGGACAGGTTGCCAATGGAGGTCAGCAAGGATAGGGGTGATGTTGGCAGACTTTTTTGTTTGTGTCAGAATCCTTGCAGCACTGTTTTGAATGAGCTATAATTTATTAATTGAGTTTAAAGGTAGGCCCCCAAGTATTGCATTCCCGTAATCAATTCTGGAGAAGACAAATGCATGGATAAGCTTTTCTGCATCAGAAGTGCTGAGAGAGGGTCTTAGGCGGTAGATGTTCTTCAGGTGAAAGAATTGTGTTTTACAGATGTGACTAATGTGGGCATCAAATTTCACACCCAGGTTGGTGATGACTGATGAGAGGGGAATGATGTGGCCATCTTTGGCAGGGCAGATGATGCAGGAGTCGGTGATCTGCTGGGGGTGCCTATTAACATTGACTCTGTCTTGCTGCTGATTAATTGAAGTTGTTCTGCATCCAAGACTTAACCTCTTCCAGACAGTTGGACAGAGCAGATATTGAGGGGCAAGGGGTTGTTTCTGGACAAGCCATGGGTATTATGGTAGCTCAGTCTATAAGTCAGTCAGTCAGTCTGACACTGTCTAAAAATGTTAATAGCTGTCAACTACTTGCATCCTCTGTCCTTGGGAGAATCTCAATTGCATGATTTGTCACATCCTCGCTCCTCATCTTCTTCTCAAAACCCATTGGATGAGAAGGTCAGAGGTCCCTCCCCTTTCACCTTCTTATCCAATGGATTTTGAGAAGGAGGCGAGGAGAGAGGATGTGAGGAATCAAGGAAATGCAATTGAGATTCTTCCCTTGTTCCCTTTATACCTCACCTCCCTCTCAAAGCACATTGTGGGAGAGGATTGAAGGTTCCCCCCTTCGGGCTCCAATGCACTTTCAAAGAGAGGCAAGTAGTGGAGGAATCAAGGACAGAGGAAGCAAGAATTTGACGGCTAGTTTTCAGATACAGACTCACGCATGCACGCATGCACATACACACACACAATACTTGAAGAGTTTACTGATTATAATGATTTCATTATTGGTTATTATTATTGTCAATTATTTTGCTGACAGAACCCATTGTATTATATTATTATATGAAATTATTACATTAACTATTAAAAAATATAGAAATGCTGTTGTTGATAATTTTCATTCTTCAGGAATGTTTAGCATGGCTTTAAATGATAGAGAAGTTGACTAAAGCACAAACAGACCTGGCTACTAGGCATGACAAAGAAACATGTGGTGTCCATGTTTTATGTGACATTTTGAATGACATGTAGATATTTTGTTGTTGCTAGGTGTTATGGCCTCATTGTGCCTATCTAGACTGTTATTCTTGTAACTACACATGTGAAGCTGCAAGAAAATCATGTTTAAATGTATATCAAACCATTTTGAAATGTTGACCCTGACGTCACACATTGGCCACTTTATTTATAGAATGAACCATAAATGCAAACTCTGTCATTGCACCTAAAAACGGTTTAGGTGCAATGCCTTCCACTCACACTGTCCAATTAAAATACATACTTTTTACTTATATGCATATTCCAGTTTATTGCATCCACAACACACCTAACCCATTACATTTATCAGGAGTTGGTTGGATACAGCTCTGATCAGCAAAGAGGTCATTAAACACTATATCCTCTAATCTTTTTAAGGGCCCATGCACGGCCAGAAGCATCCCTTCTGAAGCAGAGCCAAGTGGCGGTATCCTCACCACAGAGTTCCACCTTAAAGGTACATCTTTTCATCTTGATGTAACATTTCCTGACCTATCACTTGTGGTTCCTCTTTGCCTATGTAACAACTAAGGGGTGGTATAGTCTACACATGCAATATAATGTTACATAGCATTAGAGGCTCCTTTTTTGTTTTTGTTTAATGTTTTTATATTTTTTATAATTGAAAATCAATTGATAAATTGGTCATCATTTTTAAAAATGTTTTTAACACCAGCAAGGTGCCAAAGGTCTTGCTTGTGCTGTATGGTGTAATGTTTGACTTCCATCATTATTTGCTGTCTGCCTTTCTCTATATGTCTCACTGTGTTTCCCACAGCTAATGAGTCTTCCAATAATGAACACATCACAGGTAATTATCTAAGAGCCGATCCCATGGAATAATTACAATAAAAATCTATATTGCCTATTATCAATCAGTTGACCACTGTTACTGTTACCACTGAGTTGATGTTGTGTTTTTAATGCTGCTGCTGACTCAGAAATAGAAAGCTTGCTGAAGTGACACATTTATGCTGATACAGTAAATTTATGCTTTAAAAAAAGGCTCGCATACCCTTTTTTATTATCCCACCAGTTAGTACTATTGTAGTCTATTGCAATTGCACTTATGATGTCCTCCTATTTGTGTTTCTCCTATTTCCTGTTTCTACCCTGTCTCTTTCTTGTTTCTCTCAGGCACATCTCTATGTATCCTGTGTATAGTCCTGGTAAACACACTGTTGGGTTGTGTGAATCTACCTAAAATGTAGAAGATATAATTGTTTTAGAACTATATGTGTGAAAAACTACTACACTTTTGGAGCGGATATGAAACTACATAGACATGCTGCTCACATATACTGACATGCTAACACACGTGGAAACAAAGATACATACATTTTACATTTTAGTCATTTAGCAGACGCTCTTATCCAGAGCGACTTACAGGAGCAATTAGGGTTAAGTGCCTTGCTCAAGGGCACATCAACAGATTTTTCACCTAGTCGGCTCGGGGATTAGAACCAGTGACCTTTTGGTTACTGGAACAACACTCTTAACCACTAAGCTACCTGCCGCCCATGTACACATGAATGTGTACGTACACTCCCTGTATCCATGTACACATGCTCACCAGGTCTCAGGGAGTGTACGTACACATTCCTCTTTATTCATACTCTATTAAGCTTTACAAACTGTACAGTACATTCACAGTGGCATTACAGTAACATCCACCCATATTGTCATCGCTTCTAGTTATCAGTACATACTTTTACAATTCTAACAATATTCATGTTAAATGTAACCTACAGTACAAATATCATTTTTCAAAATAATAAAGAAGTACAATAATTGTTCCCCATTAGTCTATTTTATATATATATATATATATATATATATATTAAATTCATTGTAACCTTGTTTACAAAAAGTACACATCTCCACGTACATGTAACTACATTCCATTCGAAAGACGTGACAACAAAGATCAAAACCTTTTGTTGTCTGAAAACATATAAAAAGCCCTTTCTGTAAAGAAATTATTCTGCAAAGAAATTACCTGTTTTCGTGTGAACAAATCCAGAAACCAGTAATGTGTATACTAATTAATATTTGTATTAATGTACAAAACAAGATAATTACTAGAAAAATAGCTGCCATTAACAACCATGTTGGCAACAAAAAAAATTACTTTTTGTGGCCGGAGTTTGCCTGAGGGTCATCGTCTTCCTGCGGTCAACATGCGTGTCTTGGTCATGTGACTGTGGTCAGAGTTCTCTGTGTTCTTCACCTCGCTTTGCTCTCTTGGTCTTTGGATGTTGCTGGTTTGACTTAACAATAAAATGACCAGGGCTCTGTTCCGAAGGGTGTAATGTTACAAAACATTTAGATATCATAGAACTGTATTGTGTAGAACATCTTTATCTAAAATCATGTTAGCTCTCTCTATTCATTACATTTCAAACTCACATCATTGAATACACCCCAGGATTATCACCATACACTATTTATTTTGGTTCACATCAAACATCTACATTTACTCAAGAAAGGTGTTACCATAACATTTCACATAATCATCATATGTTGTCACTAGGGACCTTTTCAGACTTGAGATAAGTTGGCTTAACATGGCCTTAAAGACTCAGTGTGGTAAACATTCTGTTTTTCCTGTGTTTTGTATCATATTGTACAACAGCTGATGAAACTAACACTGTAAAAGTGTGAGGAAATTTGATCAGTGTTATATCCTGATAGTTGCTGGTTGCAAATATAATCTACACAGGACATTCTAATCAGCAGGTTTGCAAGATGGGAGTTTTGGCTTTCCATGGTGACATCATCATGTGGTAAACTGGTTAATCAACCAATAACAAAGAGAGTTCCAAACCTCTCTGCCAATAACAGCTAAAGTGCCTTCAGAAAGTATTCACACCCCTTGACTTATTCCACATTTTGTTTTGTTACAAGGTCAGATAAAAATGAATTTAATTGTCATTTTTTTGTCAATGATCTACACAAAATACTATGTAATGTCAAAGTGGGTGAAAAATTCTAACATTTGTAAAACATATAATGAAAAATCCAACACTAATATCTCTTGATTACATAAGTATTCAACCCCCTGAGTCGATACATGATATAATCACCTTTGGCATCGATTACAGCTGTGAGTCTTTCTGGGTAAGTCTCTAAGAGCTATGCACACCTAGATTGTACAATATTTGAACATTATTCTATTAAAAATTCTTCAAACTCTATCAAGTTGGTTCTTGATCATTGCTAGACAGCCATTTTCAAGTCTTGAAATAGATTTTCAAGCCGATTTACAGTACCAGTCAAAAGTTTGGAAACCTACTCATTCAAGGGTTTTTCTTTATTTTTACAATTTTCTACGTTGTAGAATAATAGTGAAGACATCAAACCTATGAAATAACACATATGGAATCATGTAGTAACCCAAAATTTGTTAAACAAATCAGATTATTCAAAGTAGCCAACCTTTGCCTTGATGACAGCTTTGCACACTCTTAGCATTCTCTCAACCAGCTTCACCTGGAATACTTTTCCAACAGTCTTGAAGGAGTTCCCACATATGCTGAGCACTTGTTGGCTGCATTTCCTTCACTCTGCGGTCCAACTCATCCCAAACCATCTCAATTGGGTTGAGTTTGGGTGATTGTGGAGGCCAGGTCATCTGATGCAACACTCCATCACTCTCCTTCTTGGTCAAATAGCCCTTACACAGCCTGGAGGTGTGTTGGGTCATTGTCCTGTTGAAATATAAATTATAGTCCCACTAAGCGCAAACCAGATGGGATGGCGTATTGCTGCAGAATGCTGTGGTAGCCATGCTGATTAATTGTGCCTTGCATTCTAAATACATCACAGACAGTGTCACCAGCAAAGCACCATCACACCTCCTCCATGCTTCACGGTGGGAACCACACATGTGGAGATCATCTGTTCACCTACTCTGTGTCTCATAAAGACACAGTTGGAACCAAAAATCTCAAATATGGACTCATCAGACCAAAGGACAGATTTCCACCAGTCTAATGTCCATTGCCCGTGTTTCTTGGCCCAAGCAAGTCTCTTCTTATTATTGGTGTCCTTTAGTAGTGGTTTCTTTGCTGCAATTCAACCATGGAGGCCTGATTCACGCAGTCTCTTCTGAACAGTTCATGTTGAGATGTGTCTGTTACTTGAACTCTGTGAAGCATTTATTTGGGCTGCAATTTCTGAGGCTGGTAACTCTAATGAACTTATCCTCTGCAGCAGAGGTAACTCTGGGTCTTCCTTTCCAGTGCCGGTCCTCATGAGAGCCAGTTTCGTCATAGTGCTTGATGGTTTTTGCGACTGCACTTGAAGAAACTTTCAAAGTTCTTGACATTTTCCGTATTGACTGACCTTCATGTCTTAGAGTAATGATGGACTGTCGTTTCTCTTTGTTTATTTACGCTGTTCTTGCCATAATATAGGGCTATCTTCTGTATACCACCCCTACCTTGTCACAACACAACTGATTGGCTCAAACACATTAAGAAGGAAATAAATTCCACAAATTAAACTTTTAACAAGGCACACCTGTTAATTGAAATGCATTCCAGGTGACTACCTCATGAAGCTGGTTGAGAGAATACCAAGAGTGTGCAAAGCTGTCATCAAGTCAATAGGTGGCTACTTTGAAGAATCTAAAATCTTATCACGGATTCCCCCGGTACTGCTGCTCATTCCGTTCACCAGCTCCGGAGGTCTACGTCACCAACCTTCTAGGCGTCAATGACCTGGTTCATTACCACCAACCCTGGACTGTCTTGTCTCATTACGCACACCTGGTTCCCATTCCACCTTATTAGTATGTGTATATATGTGCCCTCTGTTCCCCATTGTTCTTGTCGATTATAGTCCCATGTCCGTTGGTGTCATGAGTACCGTGTATTGTGCTCTTGTTATTATGGGTCTCGTTCCGTGTATTGTGTAGAGGTTACACCTTGCTCTTTTGTTTGGGTCACAACCCTTTGTTATATATTTACGTGTTTGTTTTGGGCTTCATCCCCATCATTTTCCATGACGTACCTTGTGTTGGGTGGAGTAAATAAAATCCCTAATACGTATTCCTGTGCCTCTCTTCTAATCATTATACAATGTGACAAATCTAAAATATATTTTGATTTGTTTAACAGTTTTCTGGGTCCTACATGATTCCATATGTGTTATTTCATAGTTTTGATGTCTTCACTATTATTCTACAATTTAGAAAATAGTATACATAAAGAAAAACCCTTGAATATGTATGTATGTCCAAACTTTTGACTGTTACTGTAAGTCAAAACTAAGTAGGCCACTCAGGAAAATTCAATGTTGACTTGGTAAGCAACTCCAGTGTATATTTGACCTTTTTGGTTATTGACCTGCTGAAAGGTGAATTACTCTCTGAGTGTCTGGTGGAAAGCAGACTGAACCACGTTTTCCTCTAGGATTTTGCCCCTGCTTAGCTCTATTCCTTTTTATTTTTATCCTAAAAAACTCCCTAGTCCTTGCCGATGAGAAGCATACCCATAACAATGCAGCCACCACCATGCTTGAAAATTTGAAGAGTGGTACTCAGTGATGTGTTTCGTTAGATTTGCCCCAAACATAACTCTTTGTATTCAGGACATAAAGTTTTCAGGACATTTTTTGCAGTTTTACTTTAGTGCCTTATTGCAAACATGATGCATGTTTTGGAATATTTTTTATTCTGTACAGGCTTCATTTAGGTTAATATTGTGATTTAACTAAAATGTTGTTGATCCATCCTCAGCTTTCTCCTACCACAGCCATTAACTCTGCAACTGTTTTAAAGTCATCATTGGTCTCATGGTGAAATCCCTGAGCGGTTTCCTTCCTCTCCGGCAACTGAGTTAGAAAGGACGCCTGTATCTTTGTAGTGACTGGGTGCATTTGATCCACCATCCAAAGTGTAATTAATAACTTCACCATGCTCAAAGGAACATTCATTGTCAGTTTATAAAAAATAAAAATAAATGTTTTACCATCTACCAATAGGTGCCCTTCTTTACGAGGCATTGGAAAACCTCCCTGGTTTTTGTGGTTGAATCTGTGTTTGAAATTCACTGCCCGACTGATGGACCTTACAGATAACTGCATGTATGGGGTACAGAGATTAGGTAGTTATTCATGTTAAACACTATCATTGCACAGAGAGTGAGTCCATGCAACTTATTATGTGACTTGTTAAGCACATTTTTACTCCTGAACTTACACTGAGTGTACAAAACTTTAGGAACAAAACACCTGCTCTTTCCGTGACATAGACTGACCAGATGAATCCTGGTGAAAGCTATGATCCCTTATTGATGTCACCTTTTAAATCCACTTCAGTCAGTGTAGGTGAAGGTGAGGTGACAGGTTAA